TACCAACAGACCCCTGGCTGTCTTCAAGAAGGCACTGGACAGGCACCTAAAGTCAGTACCTGACCAACCGGGCTGTGGTTCATACGTCACCTTGTGTGCAGCCAGCAGTAACAGCCTGGTTGATCAGACCTGATCCACCATGAGGCCTGGTCTCAGACTGGGCCATGGGGGCAGTGACCCCCTAAACCCTCTCCAGCTAAACTCCAGGCCATTATAAATCCAACAACAACACTTCAAGCACTTATCCTCACATACATTATGACATATTTTATTCATTCTAGAGTATACTATTGTAACCACGAACGAGTGGCATTGATCAATAACAACACTGCGCTAGCCAAGGATAGGTTCGAATCCTTGGCTAGCACAGTGTTGTTATTGATCAATACCACTCATTCATGGTTACAATAATACAGTGGACCCCCGCATAACGTTGGCATCGCATAGTGTTAAATCTGCATAGCGATACATTTTATCGCTAAAATTTTCCCTCGCATAGTGCTAAAAAATTCGCTCAACGCGATTCGTCCAAGACACGTCCATGCGGCCTGAGCCAGCCTCACTTGTTCTGCCAGTGGCATTGTTTACAAGCCAGCCTCCGCGGTAACATTCAAGCATACAATCGGAACATTTCGTTTTATTACAGCCTTTTTATAGTGATTTCACCTGAAAAATAAGTGACCATGGGCCCCAAGAAAGCTTCTAGTGCCAACCCTACAGGAATAAGGGTGAGAATTACTATGAAGATGAAGAAAGAGATCACTGCTAAGTATGAAAGTGGAGTGCGTGTCTCCGAGCTGGCCAGGCTGTACACAAAACCCCAATCAACCATCGCTTCTATTGTGTCCAAGAGAACGGCAATCAAGGAAGCTGTTCTTGCCAAAGGTTTAACTGTGCTTTCAAAACAGAGATCGCAAGTGATAGAAGATGTTGAGAGACTGTTATTGGTGTGGATAAACGAAAAACAGATAGCAGGAGATAGCATCTCTCAAGCGATCATAAGTGAAAAGCTAGGAAGTTGCACGAGGATTTAATTAGAAAAATGCCTGCAACTAGTGGTGATGCAAGTGAATTTAAGGCCAGCAAAGGTTGGTTTGAGAGATTTAAGAGGTGTAGTGGCATACATAGTGTGATAAGGCATGGTGAGGCTCCCATTTCAGACCACAAAGCAGCTGAAAAATATGTGCATGAATTCAAGGAGTACATAGACAGTGAAGGACTGAAACCTGAACAAGTGTTTAATTGTGACGAAACAGGCCTGTTTTGGAAGAAAATGCCAAGCAGGACCTACATTACTCAGGAGGAAAAGGCACTCCCAGGACATAAGCCTATGAAAGACAGGCTTACTCTTCTCATGTGTGACAATGCTAGTGGTGATTGCAAAGTGAAGCCTTTATTAGTGTATCACTCTGAAACTCCCAGAGCGTTCAGGCAAAAGAATATCCTCAAGGCTAATTTGTGTGTGCTGTGGAGGGCAAACAATAAGGCATGAGTCACTAGGGACTTTTTCTATGACTGGTTACACCAAGCATTTGCCCCCACTGTGAAAAATTACCTAACTGAAAAGAAATTAGACCTTAAGTGCCTCGTGGTGTTAGACAATGCCCCTGGTCATCCTACAGACTTGGCAGAGCGACTTTATGGGGACATGAGCTTCATTAAGGTGAAGTTTTTGCCTCCTAATACCACTCCTCTCCTGCAGCCCATGGACCAGCAGGTCATTGCAAACTTCAAAAAACTGTACACAAAAGCTCTGTTTGAAAGGTGCTTTGTAGTGACCTCAGAAACTCAATTGACTCTAAGAGAGTTTTGGAGAGAGCACTTTAATATCCTCAATTGTGTAAACCTTATAGGTAAGGCTTGGGAGGGAGTGACTAAGAGGACCTTTAACTCTGCTTGGAAGAAACTGTGGCCAGAATGTGTAGACCAAAGGGATTTTGAAGGATTTGAGGCTAACCCTGAGAATCCTATGCCAGTTGAGGAATCAATTGTGGCATTGGGGAAGTCCTTGGGGTTGGAGGCTAGTGGGGAGGATGTGGAAGAGTTGGTGGAGGAGGACAATGAAGAACTAACCACTGATGAGCTGCTAGATCAACTTCAACAGCAAGAGGCCACACCTGAGGAAATTGCTTCGGAGGAGGGGAGAGAGAAATTGAAGAAGTTGTCTACTTCAAAGATTAAGGAAATCTGTGCAAAGTGGCTTGAAGTGCAAACCTTCATGGATGAAAATCACCCTCAGACAGCTATTGCAAGCCGTGCTGGTGACTATTACACCGACACTGTTGTGAAACACTTTAGGAAAGTCATAAAGGAACGAGAGGTACAGGACACTATGGACAGATATGTTGTGCAACAGAAGTCCAGTGACTCTGAAGCTGGTCCTAGTGGCATTAAAAGAAGAAGGGAAGCAACCCCGGAAAAGGACTTGACACCTCAAGTCCTAATGGAAGGGGATTCCCCTTCTAAACACTAAAACCATCCAGTCTCCCCTCCTCCCATCCCATCAATCATCACCGCATCTTCAATAAAGGTAAGTGTCATGTAACTGTGCATGTTTTCTTAAGTTTGTGTGTATTAAAATTAATATTTCATGTAGTAAAATTTTTTTTTTTCACACTTTTGGGTGTCTTGCACGGATTAATTTGATTTCCATTATTTCTTATGGGGAAAATTAATTTGCATAACAATAATTTCGCATAACATTGAGCTCTCAGGAACAAATTAATAGCGTTATGCGGGGGTCCACTGTGTATAAATACTGCTTGTGAGGCTAGTACACCAAACAGAGATGAGAATGAAATTAGCTTAGAAGCTCCCACACCTCCTTATGCCCTCAGATGGCGGCCCAACAGCTAGCTGTGTGCTGGTTGCGCCATTCTTGTAGGGTTGGGTGGTCCTGTGGTTTAAAGTGTCATGTGGTTCTCGCTTACCATGAGGCAGGCCAGTACAACATTGGTTCGAATCCTTGGCTAGCGCAGTGTTGTTATTGATCAATACCACTCATTCATGGTTACAATAATATATAAATACTGCTCGTGAGGCTAGTACACCAAACAGGGATGAGAATGAAATTAGCTTAGAAGCTCCCACACCTCCATGTGCCCTCAGATGGTGGCCCAACAGTTAGCTGTGTGCCAGCTGCGCCATTCTTGTAGGGTTAGGTGGTCCTGTGGTTTAAAGCGTCATGTGGTTCGCGCTTACCATGAGGCAGGCCAGTACAACATGGGTTCGAATCCTTGGCTAGTGCAGTGTTGTTATTGATTCTAGAGTATATATCATGTTTCTATGTTATTAATATTGTTTGCTATGTCATGTTAGATGAATTGTGATAGATAAATAAGCGTCATATTGAAGCATAATAAACTTGCCTTCCTGTCGCCTCCTACACACCTGCTATACTCCCTGCATGCCTGCTACTCTCCCTGCATGTCTGCTACTCTCCCTGCATGTCTGTTGCACTCCCAGCATGCCTGCTACACTCCCTGCATGTCTGCTACACTCCCTGCATGCCTGCTACTCTCCCTGCATACCTGCTACTCTCCCTGCATGTCTGTTACTCTCCCTGCATGTCTGTTGCACTCCCAGCATGCCTGCAACACTTCCTGCATACCTGCTACACTCCCTGCATGTCTGCTACACTCCCTGCATGTCTGCTACTCTCCCTGCATGTCTGTTGCACTCCCAGCATGCCTGCTACACTCCCTGCATGTCTGCTACACTCCCTGCATGCTTGCTACATTCCCTGCATGTCTGCTACACTCCCTGTATGCTTGCTACACTCCCAGCATGCCTGCTACACTCCCTGTATGCTTGCTACACTCCCTGCATGCCTGCTACACTCCCTGCATATCTGCTACACTTCCTGCATGCCTACTACACTCCATGCATATCTGCTACACTCCCTGCATGCCTGCTACACTCCCTGCATATCTGCTACACTCCCTGCATGCCTGCTACACTCCCTGCATATCTGCTACACTCCCTGCATGCCTGCTACACTCCCTGCATATCTGCTACACTCCATCAAACTAACTACGTAATTAAACTAACATCTCCTCCATGGTAAGTGCAAATATTTATTATTTATTAATTAAAATTCTTGTAGGTAGTAGGTTGGTAGACAGCAGGTGTCCAGGGAGGTACTACTGTCCTGCCAAGTGAGTGTAAAATGAAAGCCTGTAATTGTTTTACATGATGGTAGGATTGCTGGTGTCTTTTCTCTGTCTCATAAATATGCAAGATTACAGGTAAGTCTTGCTACTTCTACTTACACTTAGGTCACACTATACATACATGTACAAGCATATATATACACACCCCTCTGGGTTTTCTTCTATTTTCTTTCTAATTCTTGTTCTTGTTTATTTCCTCTTATCTCCATGGGGAAGTGGAACAGAATTCTTCCTCTGTAAGCCATGCGTGTCGTAAGAGGCGACTAAAATGCCGGGAGCAAGGGGCTAGTAACCCCTTCTCCTGTATATATTACTAAATTTAAAAGGAGAAACTTTAGTTTTTTCTTTTGGGCCACCCCACCTCGGTGGGATACGGCTGGTATGTTGAAAGAAGAAGAATTAAAATTCAAATATTTCTTATTTATAAATTAAAATTTAAATATTTCTTATTTATAAATTACATACATATATTGTTTGTGGATAGTGGTGGTGGCAGAAGCCTCCTCCACCACCACTATGTACGGCTTCTCTCAGTGGCCCTTATAAACCCAACAACACTTCCAGCACTTGCTTCTCACATACATTATGGCGTATTTTATTCATAGGATGGGGAGAATACGTACTAGAAATCATAAATCAAAGATTTTTACATTTAGATAACAGGAAATTTAATATAAAACACTGATATATATTTGAAGTGCAAGAAGCACTTGAACCATTACCGACACTTAGTCTTATTGGCAAAATGGATTACAACCAATTTACTCCAGTGCTGGAATACTGGAGTGAAGCTGTAATGGAAATGATTCATCTTTATCTGGTACTCACATCTTGTATCATTATCTGAATCCTCCTTTATTTCAATAACTTCTTGCTTAAAATTAATGTCTGATCCTAATCCACTAGATTCATAACTCTCTGAACTCAAGGTCTGATTATTACAGCTTTCCATTAGCTCAAGTGACATGGGATCCATTTTGATGTCACTATCTGAAAGAAGAAAAGTTTATTTTAGTAAACATTAATTACAATACCTATTATTGGATCAAGTGTCCTGTAGCTTAATCTCTAGCACACTCAGCTCACACACTAAGGTCTGGGAGTTGATCCCCAGTATGGCTGGAAACATTAGGACATGTTTCCTTAAGGTACCTGCTGTCCATGTTCACCTATCAGTAGAATAGGTATCTGGGTGTTAGTCAACTGGTGTGGGTTGCATAGTGGGACAAAACTGACAATTTCCCCAAAATGCTCTGCAAAACAAGTGGCTTTCTATATAGTAGTATAGCTAGGCCTGTATACCTTGTACATGTACTTGCAGAAATAAAGGTTGTTATTATTATTATTAAGTGAAGTAGAATGATACCTATGAAATAAGGAACATGTAAATGATGCAATTAAGTAATACAGTATGTCATTTGTCCTTATCAATACCCATCTTTCTGGCCTTACAGAAACTTACCTGTGCATGTCTAGGAAGACATGATAAGCCTCCTAACACCTGCTACTCATGTTCACCTTGCCATAAATAAATTACTGAACCTCAGGCATGCACATGTATGTGTGTGTGTTTGTTCATTCACACAAATAATGAGAATGCTTAACATTCTTCTTCAAAACATAAAATTGTGAAATATACAGGTTCCTCACATAATCTAATATTTCATAGAATTATCATTCCTTTTGATGCACTCCTTAAGTCTCCTAGGCACTGGTAAGGCTAAATTATTAAGGATATTAGCAATACTCTCTCACCTCTGCTTAATGGCACTCGCGAGTCTGGGGATAATGAGCAACATCCATGCCACGAAGCTTACGCTTTATAAAGATCCACATGCTCCCTATCAGATGTAAGTCCAGTGAGTTCCCAGGATAATCATTAAATATTGAAATTTCACAATCAAAACTGTCAGCAAATAGTCTGTTCAAGGCATATGTATATTTATGCTGTCTACTGTATATATTACAGAATTTTATATTATATTTTTTAACTCAATTGCTGTCTGCACATATAAATATAAGGCTAATACATGTAATATATAATCACAAATTAACTAAATGATACATAGGTAGTAGGTTGGTAGAGAGCAACCGCCCAGGGAGGTACTACCGTCCTGCCGAGTGTAAAACGAAAGCCTGTAATTGTTTTACATGTTGGTAGGATTGCTGGTGTCCTTTTTTCTGTCTCATGAACATGCAAGATTTCAGGTATGTCTTGCTACTTCTACTTACACTTAGGTCACACTACACATACATGTACAAGCACAAATATACACACCCCTCTGGGTTTTCTTCTATTTTCTTTCTAGTTTTTTTTTTTTCTTTTCAACAAGTTGGTCGTCTCCCACCGAGGCAGGGTGACCCAAAAAAGAAAGAAAATCCCCAAAAAGAAAATACTTTCATCATTCAACACTTTCACCACACTCACACATTATCACTGCTTTTGCAGAGGTGCTCAGAATACAACAGTTTAGAAGCATATACGTATAAAGATACACAACATATCCCTCCAAACTGCCAATATCCCAAACCCCTCCTTTAAAGTGCAGGCATTGTACTTCCCATTTCCAGGACTCAAGTCCGACTATAAGAAAATAACCGGTTTCCCTGAATCCCTTCACTAAATATTACCCTGCTCACACTCCAACAGATCGTCAGGTCCCAAGTATCATTCGTCTCCATTCACTCCTATCTAACACGCTCATGCACGCTTGCTGGAAGTCCAAGCTCCTCGCCCACAAAACCTCCTTTACCCCCTCTTTCCAACCCTTTCGAGGACGACCCCTACCCCTCTTTCCTTCCCCTATAGATTTATATGCTTTCCATGTCATTCTACTTTGATCCATTCTCTCTAAATGACCAAACCACCTCAACAACCCCTCTTCTGCCCTCTGACTAATGCTTTTATTAACTCCACACCTTCTCCTAATTTCCACACTCCGAGTTTTCTGCATAATATTTACACCACACATTGCCCTTAGACAGGACATCTCCACTGCCTCCAACCGTCTCCTCGCTGCTGCATTTACCACCCAAGCTTCACATCCATATAAGAGTGTTGGTACTACTATACTTTCATACATTCCCTTCTTTGCCTCCATAGATAACGTTTTTTGACTCCACATATACCTCAATGCACCACTCACCTTTTTTCCCTCATCAATTCTATGATTAACCTCATCCTTCATAAATCCATCCGCCGACACGTCAACTCCCAAGTATCTGAAAACATTCACTTCTTCCATACTCCTCCTCCCCAATTTGATATCCAATTTTTCTTTATCTAAATCATTTGATACCCTCATCACCTTACTCTTTTCTATGTTCACTTTCAACTTTCTACCTTTACACACATTCTCAAACTCATCCACTAACCTTTGCAATTTTTCTTTAGAATCTCCCATAAGCACAGTATCATCAGTAAAAAGTAACTGTGTCAATTCCCATTTTGAATTTGATTCCCCATAATTCTAGTTCTTATTCTTGTTTATTTCCTCTTATCTCCATGGGGAAGTGGAACAGAATTCTTCATCCCTAAGCCATGCTGGGAGCAAGGGGCTAGTAACCTCTTCTCCTGTATATATTACTAAATGTAAAAGGAGAAACTTTCGTTTTTCCTTTTGGGCCACCCCGCCTCGGTGGGATACGGCTGGTGTGTTGAAAGAAAGAAAGAACTAAATGATACTAACCAAACACTGGTGAGTTATCACAGCTTGTTAGTGGTGTCTGAGGATCTTCGTCAGTTGCAAACTTGTTAGTATTTCCATCCTCAAACTCCAGTCTCTTAGCAACAGTATGCAGTGTTTCTGCACCTGTTGTTGGTATGTCAACTCTTCCTAAAGAAGAGAGCTTTTTCTAAAAATTACTATATTCATGAGCAAAGGAAAGTTTCTGATCAACAAAAATTATTACAAATAGCATAAGGGTCATTAGTTCAACATGACTATAGAGCACACACTATAAGAGTAGCAGGTATAAAACATACAGGGGAATAAGACAAACAAGAAATTACTGTGTTAGACATTTAAGTAGTGAGCAAAAATAAGAGGGGTATAAGGCAGACCAAATACCACCTGCAGAAATTAATGAGGGGTGCATTATGACAGAGTGAAGTGTGAACAGAAAGCATGAAAGCAATATTGAAATAAATACGAAGAGAACAGATAATAAAAGGCATTACGGTAAGTGTTGACTGACTGTAGAAAAACTGGAATTTTAATGCTGTTACAAAGTTCAGTTTCTTGTAAAGAGACACATACAAGAGGAAGATAAACATCTGAAGTTCTTGCCGATTTTCCCTGTACCCTCTCGAGATTCCAATCTCAAAAGATGTAAGTGACAGGGCAATCATTCAAAAGTAGAGAAGTCAGGAGATGAAGACAGTAACCAGCTGAAAGAAAGTGCTGTAATCATAAACAAGTAGAGAGAATTGACAGAAGGCACAGTGCCCTGTAGGATATGTTGGAAATCAACAGCAGGGTACTTAGAGGATAAAGATTGCTCAGAAATTGCCCTCATCTGTGAAAGCAAAATGGTAATATGAGACATTATTTTTTTTTTTTTTTGTTATCACACTGGCCGATTCCCACCAAGGCAGGGTGGCCCGAAAAAGAAAAACTTTCACAATCATTCACTCCATCACTGTCTTGCCAGAAGGGTGCTTTACACAACAGTTTTTAAACTGCAACATTAACACCCCTTCTTCAGAGTGCAGGCACTGTACTTCCCATCTCCAGGACTCAAGTCCAGCCTGCCGGTTTCCCTGAACCCCTTCATAAATGTTACTTTGTTCACACTCCAACAGCACGTCAAGTATTAAAAACCATTTGTCTCCATTCACTCCTATCAAACACACTCACGCATGCCTGCTGGAAGTCCAAGCCCCTCGCACACAAAACCTCCTTTACCCCCTCCCTCCAACCTTTCCTAGGCCGACCCCTACCCCGCCTTCCTTCCACTACAGACTGATACACTCTTGAAGTCATTCTGTTTCGCTCCATTCTCTCTACATGTCCGAACCACCTCAACAACCTTTCCTCAGCCCTCTGGACAACAGTTTTGGTAATCCCGCACCTCCTCCTAACTTCCAAACAACGAATTCTCTGCATTATATTCACACCACACATTGCCCTCAGACATGACATCTCCACTGCATCCAGCCTTCTCCTCGCTGCAACATTCATCACCCATGCTTCACACCCATATATGAGCGTTGGTAAAACTATACTCTCATACATTCCCCTCTTTGCCTCCAAGGACAAAGTTCTTTGTCTCCACAGACTCTAAGTGCACCACTCACCCTTTTCCCCTCATCAATTCTATGATTCACCTCATCTTTCATAGACCCATCCGCTGACACGTCCACTCCCAAATATCTGAATACATTCACCTCCTCCAAACCCCACCCTCCAACCTGATATCCAATCTTTCATCACCTAATCTTTTTGTTATCCTCATAACCTTACTCTTTCCTGTATTCACTTTTAATTTTCTTCTTTTGCATACCCTACCAAGTTCATCCACCAATCTCTGCAACTTCTCTTCAGAATCTCCCAAGAGCACAGTCTCATCAGCAAAGAGCAACTGTGGCAACTCCCACTTTATGTGTGATTCTTTATCTTTTAACTCCATGCCTCTTACCAAGACCCTCGCATTTACTTCTCTTACAACCCCATCTATAAATATATTAAACAACCACGGTGACATCACACATCCTTGTCAAAGGCCTACTTTTACTGGGAAATAATTTCCCTCTTTCCTACATACTCTAACTTGAGCCTCACTATCCTCATAAAAACTCTTCACTGCTTTCAGTAACCTACCTCCTACACCATACACCTGCAACATCTGCCACATTGCCTCCCTATCCACCCTGTCATACGCCTTTTCCAAATCCATAAATGCCACAAAGACCTCTTTAGCCTTATCTAAATACTGTTCACTTATGTGTTTCACTGTAAACACCTGGTCCACACACCCCCTACCTTTCCTAAAGCCTCCTTGTTCATCTGCTATCCTATTCTCCGTCTTACTCTTAAATCTTTCAATAATAACTCTACCATACACTTTACCAGGTATACTCAACAAACTTATGCCCCTATAATTTTTGCACTCTCTTTTGTCCCCTTTGCCTTTATACAAAGGAACTATGCATGCTCTCTGCCAATCCCTAGGTACCTTACCTTCTTCCATACATTTATTAAATAATTGCACCAACCACTCCAAAACTATATCCCCACCTGCTTTTAACATTTCTATCTTTATCCCATCAATCCCGGCTGCCTTACCCCCTTTCATTTTACCTACTGCCTCACGAACTTCCCTCACACTCACAACTGGCTCTTCCTCACTCCTACAAGATGTTATTCCTCCTTGCCCTATACACGAAATCACAGCTTCCCTATCTTCATCAGCATTTAACAATTCCTCGAAATATTCCCTCCATCCGGGCTGTGGCTCGTACGTTGGTTTGCGTGAAGCCAGCAGCAACAGCCTGGTTGATCAGGCTCTGATCCACCAGGAGGCCTGGTCACAGACCGGGCCGCGGGGGCGTTGACCCCCAGAACTCTCTCCAGGTAATACCTCTAACTCTCCATTTGATAACTCTCCTCTCCTATTTTTAACTGACAAATCCATTTGTTCTCTAGGCTTCCTTAACTTGTTAATCTCACTCCAAAACTTTTTCTTATTTTCAACAAAATTCGTTGATAACATCTCACCCACTCTCTCATTTGCTCTCTTTTTACATTGATTCACCACTCTCTTAACCTCTCTCTTTTTCTCCATATACTCTTCCCTCCTTGCATCACTTCTACTTTGTAAAAACTTCTCATATGCTAACTTCTTCTCCCTTACTACTCTCTTTACATCATCATTCCACCAATCGCTCCTCTTCCCTCCCGCACCCACCTTCCTGTAACCACAAACTTCTGCTGAACACTCCAACACTACATTTTTAAACCTACCCCATACCTCTTCGGCCCCATTGCCTATGCTCTCATTAGCCCATCTATCCTCCAATAGCTGTTTATATCTTACCCTAATTGCCTCCTCTTTTAGTTTATAAACCTTCACCTCTCTCTTCCCTGATGCTTCTATTCTCCTTGAATCCCATCTACCTATTACTCTCAGTGTAACTACAACTAGAAAGTGATCTGATATATCTGTGGCCCCTCTATAAACATGTACATCTTGAAGTCTACTCAACAGTCTTTTATCTACCAATACATAATCCAACAAACTACTGTCATTTTGCCCTACATCATATCTTGTATACTTATTTATCCTCTTTTTCTTAAAAAATGTATTACCTATAACTAAACACCTTTCTATACAAAGTTCAATCAAAGGGCTCCCATTTTCATTTACACCTGGCACCCCAAACTTACCTACCACACCCTCTCTAAAAGTTTCTCCTACTTTAGCATTCAGGTCCCCTACCACAATTACTCTCTTACTTGGTTCAAAGGCTCCTATACATTCACTTAATATCTCCCAAAATCTCTCTCTCTCCTCTACATTCCTCTCTTCTCCAGGTGCATACACGCTTATTATGACCCACTTTTCGCATCCAACCTTTACTTTAATCCACATAATTCTTGAATTTACACATTCATATTTTCTTTTCTCCTTCCATAACTGATCCTTCAACATTACTGCTACCCCTTCCTTTGCTCTAACTCTCTCAGATACTCCAGATTTAATCCCATTTATTTCCCCCCACCGAAACTCCCCTACCCCCTTCAGCTTTGTTTCACTTAGGGCCAGGACATCCAACTTCTTTTCATTCATAACATCAGCAATCATCTGTTTCTTGTCATCCGCACTACATTCACGCACATTCAAGCATCCCAGTTTTATAAAGTTTTTCTTCTTCTCTTTCTTAGTAAATGTCTACAGTAAATGTCTACAGTAAAAGTCTGTAATCATAAACAAGTAGAGAGAATTGACAGAAGGTACAGTGCCCTGTAGGGTATGTTGGAAATCAACAGCAGGGTACTTAGAGGCTAAAGAAGATTGCTCAGAAATTGCTCTCATCTGTGAAAGCAAAATGGTATATATGAGACATATCTGATATATTTGGTAAAGTGTACCTGGAAAGACCATGCAGTACACACTTCCTTGTTTATGAGCAAGTATTACTGCTATTACTACTGTTTTGTATTTCTATTCTTTAATCATATGAAAGAAATGAAAGCTATTACATTTCTAACAAGGTTGGAGGCTATGTGCTGTATCTTTTTGCATCTTTGACAAAGTTTCCTATGAGAACTTCCCTTCCTTGGTAGAGGACCCATGTACAGGTTTAAACAGATATTTCAACCACAATTTAATAAGTTAAGGTTTAGATGGTAATCATTTGGTTAAAAATTCAATATGCTGCAATGCATATCACAAACAATGCTGGTTTGTTTTCATTCATTGTGAAATACGAATGTACAGTACAGAAGTTTAAGCATGCCCCATAAGGATATGTCTTGGATTAGATCGAATACCCTGCATTCTCCAGGTACTTTATAACCCATATGGATGTACCGCTTCCCCATGAATACAAAAATAATTGCCTCATTATGTACAAAAGTAGAGCAGCAGCAGCAAAAGTATACAAAAGGCACAAGCAACAAGGACAGAGAATAAAATGCTAGTCAAGAAAGACAGAATAGATGCTGTGGAAAAACTGGCAGCAACAAGTTGTGAGAGAATGTGAGTGCAGACACAGTTAACAAGTACCTAGGAATTTAGTTAGCTGTTGTGAGTTACATCTGAGAAGAATATTTTAATTTTATGTTATTCCCCATTTAGTGTTTTCATTAGTGACTAAGGCTAATTAATCTACTTTTAAAACAGTATTCATCATATCATTACTTAACCCTTAAACGGTCCAAACGTATATATACGTTCACGCGCATATCGCCCCAAACGTATAAATACGTTTTCTTTGTCATTCACTCAACATTGCCACGATAAGCCTGAGTCATCTAGACATGAGAGAATGGGTGTGAGCACTCACTGTGCACCATATTAAAATAAATGGGGATGCCTGGGTACCATATGCTCTTTTTTCCTATTAAAAAAAAAAAGATTTTTTTTTTCCTCAAAAAATTTGGGGCGCTACGCGAGTGAACGTATATATACGTTTGGACCGTTTAAGGGTTAAAGAGTACTAATCATGTGAAATATTTTTTGTGTACATCGGAACCTCGGTTTTCGTTTTTAATTTGTTCCAGAGAGTCTGATGAAAACTGAAGCAATATTTCCCGTAGGAAATAATGTAAATCCAATTAATCCGTTCCAGACACCCAAAAATATTAACAAAAAGTACATTTTATAGAGAATAACTATAGTTTTACATACAGAAAACAATGAGAAATAAATATAAAGCACTAATGAAATGCAACATCACTTTTACCTTTATTGAAGACTCTTGGTGGCATATGGAAGATAGTGAGGGGGAGAGGGAGGAGAGGTTATCTCTACCACCATCACTACTACCCTCTACCTTTGTAGAGGGTGGTAGTGATATTTCTCCACAAAACTTTGCAACTCATTTCACTTTCACACTTTGCTTCGAGTTCTTTCTTGAATTCTATCATGTTTCTCACCTTCTTTATCAAAGAGCTGGCACTCGGAACTTTCTTTGGCCTCATGGTGGCTTATTTAGCAGTCTCACTCAATAAACAAGCACAGAAAACAATGGATTATTATGAAATGTTTCGTATGAATATGCAGGGTATTGTTCACGTGACGAGAAACAAAGCCAGACTGACTCAGAATGCGTGTGTGAGATGCTTTGTGTGGGCGCAGGTAGATGGATACGTTCTGTATGGCGGATAAAAACTGAGGTGATGAACAAAAACTGGGACAATATTTTGACAAAAAAAGTTGTCGAAAACCGAATTAAACGAAAACCAGGGCAAACGAAAACCGAGATTCCACGGTACAAATGAAGTCAAAAAGTGAAAACTCTCCAAACCATCATTAAATAATTTTAACCCGTTACCGGTCCAAATATGGATCTAAGTTCTCTTGCCCAGCACTCCAAATATTTTGAAAAAAAAAAAAAAATAAAATAAAATAAAAAAATTCAAATAAATAATTTTTTTTTTAATAAAGAGGGTATTTTTCTATAAGCAATTAGATAAAAGAAATTAGGGTCAGTACTTACTGAGATATAAGACCACGAAGCTGGCACTAGATGCTCACCTGACGGCAACATGGAGTCCTGCCGCTTGCAGAAACGTTGCTGATATACCTTTTTTACTTTTTTTTTTAATTTATATATTTTTTATAATCTGATAATTACAATTTGTAGTAGTTCTTGTGATTTCATAGCCAATCTTTGTTCTGACACTAATATTAGGTACTGAAATAGTACTCAAATACAGCCTTTCCTCACTAAGCAATGTACCCGTTTTCCGACAACTTGGACTTATCAGAGGCTCTCTGACCAGTATGCATAACTAAATGATGTATATTAGAGCTGATTTTCTCTATTCTGTTTATTACAATATGCAGTACACTACTGCATGAGCATTTAAAAATATACTAAAAATGTTATAAATGGTGCAAAGGTGACATTAAAACAATATCTAAGACTTCTGACACATACCCACTACCATTATGGTATGCTCCTTGCTTAGCAATGAATTCATTTACCGATGTGGTCTTAAGAACAGAACTCCGTCGTTAAGTGAGGAGAGGCTGTAGTCACAAACACACTTGACAGGTGAACATTTTCACCTGTCTTGGTCACATACTATTGTCTAAAAATATATACAAAAAATATTCATAGGTCCCAGCAATGTTTTAGACATGCTGGAGTACATATGAAACTCCTTGAAGCACAGTGTAAGACGAGTGTCACTCCACTGCTGACAGTGCAGCAGTAGAGTGACATGTGATGATTGTGCACTGCCTTGGCTTTATTTGTTTTCACTGTTACACATAAACATGTCTGTCTATTGGTCTAGCTATATCTCTGTTTATCTCTGTCTCTGCTTATCTGTCTTTCTATCTGTCTTTCTGTCTCTGTCTGCTTGTCTCTCATTCCGTCTCATTGAGCCACTCATGAACCAATAGGTATTACACATTATGCAGAATCATCATGGCTGATTCCTGAACAAGTGAAAATGTGTACTGTTTGCCAGTCATGCTTATGCTTTATATCTACAAGCACAGTAAAGCACTTCGTCTGGATTTTTTTTTTGGGTTATCCTAGGTAATTTACACTATGAATAATAACTGTATTTATGTGTATCTGTGAGACGGAGACAGAGATAGAGAGATAGACAGAGACAGATGCAGACAGACAGACGGAGATGGAGACAGCCAAAGTCAATTAGACACCCACCCACCCAGCTGCCGGCCAGCCAGCTGTTCACCCAGCCAGCCAGTCTGCTGAACACGTATTACAAATGTTCCAGAATTGTTTCTCTTTACATAGGTTATAGGACATTCTGGCAGGATGACACTACCAGCAGTATCAAAATTGAAAGGATGTTGCACATATTTTGCACATGGGTTATTATCCAGGTTTTTGATATTTCGTTGAACACTTGTGGCCACATCCATCTTGAAGCCACTAAACTCAGGGTCAACATCACTTTCTTCTTCAAAGGAGAGTGTTAATACGACATGACGTCAGTGAATCCCTGGTGTCTGCCATGCTGTTTGCTCTAGCTGGCGCTTAATTGAACTGGTGCTGTCACAAGGTACTAAGTGGTCCCAGAGTTTTTTAATACTGTACACACCAAGTGTTAAGACCCATTCTGTACTGACCAGGCATCTCAGGCCAATCATGCCAAATCTGGAGGCAGGAAAAATAAAACAGTGATCTATGTTTGGAGCGCTAGCAATAAGAACGTAGATCTATGTTTGGACAGTTAAGGGGTTATGTATTAGGAATGTAAAGTTCAAGTATGTTTCTAGTACGTACCAGAAAAGCTGGTAGGAGTTGCAGCTGGATTAGTAGTGGATGTTACAGGAAGAGTTGTTGTGAATGGTGAGGTAGCAACTGGGACAACAGCAGGAGTGGCACCAGTAAGACGTACTACAACCAGGTGCTGGTATTCACAGCTGGTGGTTGGACTACTCTGCATGGAACCACTGCTAACCTGTAGATAGTTGTACAAAAATCAAGCTTTAGTAAACATTTTAATTACATCAGTTTGCTTCTTTAAGTTTTATGTACAGAGCACCTGCAAAATATCAGTTCATTTAACTTTATTACTCTTAACCCTCTCATTGACTGTGCTGCAGTACTATGGCTTTGAGCTCAGCTCACTCAGATAAGTTGTGAGCGGTAAATTTGGGCCAAGATATGAGAGAATGGGTCTATGTGGTAAGTGCATACCATATAAAAAAAAATCCTGCAGCATGCAGTGCATAATGAGAAAAAACTCCAAGTGTTTTTGGTTTAAAACAGCAACTTTGCAGTGTATTTTTGTATGGATTTTATTGTTGTATTCTTGGTTTCTTCATCTCATTTGATAGATTGGAAGATATATTACAGAAATAGAGGTGATTTTGATTGGTTTCAAGACTGAAAATAGCTTGAAACCGAGCTCAAAGTAGTGGAAATGTTCAATTTTTGCCGATGTTCAAGACTACACAAATCACTTCACGCTTCCAATATACATCCAACTGCTGGGTTTAATATGCAGTCACGAATGCAGTGGTATTTTTTATACAATTACAGTGGTAACCCGAGTTACGAACTGCTCCCAACTCGACCAATTATGTAAGTACAGTGGACCCCCGGTTAATGATATTTTTTCACTCAAGAAGTATGTTCAGGTGCCAGTACTGACCGAATTTGTTCCCATAAGGAATATTGTGAAGTAGATTAGTCCATTTCAGACCCCCAAACATACACGTACAAACGCACTTACATAATTACACTTATATAATTGGTCGCATTCGGAGGTAATCGTTATGCGGAGGTCCACTGTATATTATTGTAAGTGCTTTTTGTAAGTGTATTTTTGGGGGTCTGAAACAGACAAATCTAATTTACATTATTCCTTATGGGAACAAATTCATTCAGTAATGGCACTCGAACAGCCTTCTGGAACAAAGAAAGTTTGAAACTTAGGGTACCACTGTATTACAATACAGTGATATTAATCCATTCCTGAGAGCACATTGTTAGATGAAATTATCGTTAGCCAAATTAATTTTCCCCATAAGAAAAAATGGAAATCCAATTAATCTGTTCCAGACAGCCAAAAGAATTAAAAAAAATTATTTTTTTTTCATGAAATATACATTTCCCTACAAAGAAAACAATGAGACATGCACAATAACTATATAAATAAATGTTAAAATGACACTTACCTTTATTGAAGAGTATTGATGAGTGATGAGACAGAGTGATACATGAGTAAAGGCTTCACTTTGCAATCTCCACTAACATTACAACAAAACAAGGAAGTTAGCCTGTCTTTCATAGGCTTGTGTCCTGGGAGTGCCTTTTCCTCCTGAGTAATGTAGGTCCTGTTTGGCATTTTCTTCCAGAACAGGCCTGTTTCGTCACAACTGAACACTTCTTGGGGTAGGAATTTTTCAGCTTCGCCGTGCCTTATCACACTGTGTATGCCACTACGATTCTTAAATCTCTTAAACCAACCTTTGCTGGCCTTAAATTCACCAATATGAGCACTAGTTCCAGGCATTTTTTCCTGTTCACCTGGGTGTTAGTTGACTGGTGTGGGTCGCATCCTGGGGGACAAGATTAAGAACTCCAATGGAAATAAGTTAGACAGTCCTCGATGACTCACTGACTTTCTTGGGTTATCCTGGACGGCTAACCCTCTAGGGCTAATTGTTTCTCGATAATTGTTTCTAGTTAAGCCACACCAACAACAGTTTCTCAACATAAGAACATAAGAATGGAGGAACACTGCAGAAGGCCTACTGGCCCATGCGAGGCAGGTCCTTATCAAAACGACCTCTATCTTAAGCTACCCAAGAAATAACTCCCGTACCCAATGACACCAATCAAACCCAGCCCCTCCCACTCATATACAGTGGACCCCCAGTATTCGATGGCATCAATATTCGATAAATCCAGTATTCGATGCATTATTTCGCAAAAATTTTGCCTCGGTATCCGATCGAAAACCCGATATTCGATACGATTCGTACGAGACGTGTCCATGTGTAGCCTGAACTGCCCCGTGTGTGCCAGTGTTTACAAGCCAGCCAGTGTGCGCGCATCTAAGGATGCATTCGGTACATTCCATATTATCCATATTATCACTGTTTTTGGTGCTTCTTTCTGCAAAATAAGTCACCATGGGCCCCAAGAAAGCTTCTAGTGCCAACCCTTCGAGAAAAAAGGCGCTAATGACTATTGAAATGAAGAAACAGCTAATTGCAAAGTACGAAAGTGGACTGCATGTGTCGGAGCTGGTCAGGTTGTATAATAAACCCCAATCAACCATCTCTACTATAGTGACCAGGAAAACGGCAATCAAGGAAGCTGTTCTTGCAAAAGGTGCAACTGTGACTACGAAACATCAACCACAAGTGTTAGAAAATGTTGAGAGACTGTTATTAGTGTGGATAAATGAAAAACAGATAGCAGGAGATAGCATCTCTCAAGTGATCATTTGTGAAAAGGCTAGGCAGTTGTATGACGATTTGGTAAAGAAACTGCCTGCAACTAGTGCTGATGTGAGTGAATTTAAGGCCAGCAAAGGTTGGTTTGAAAGATTTAAGAATCGTAGTGGCATACACAGTGTGGTAAGGCATGGTGAGGCTGCCAGTTCAGACCAAAAAGCAGCTGAAAAATATGTGAAGGAATTCAAGGATTACATAGACAGTGAAGACTTGAAACATGAACAAGTGTTTAATTGCGACGAAACAGGCCTGTTTTGGAAGAAAATGCCAAGCAGGACCTACATTACTCAGGAGGAAAAGGCACTCCCAGGACATAAGCCTATGAAAGACAGGCTTACTCTTCTCATGTGTGCCAATGCTAGTGGTGATAGCAAAGTGAAGCCTTTATTAGTGTATCACTCTGAAACTCCCAGAGTGTTCAGGAAAAACAATGTCCTCAAGGCTAATTTGTGTGTGATGTGGAGGGCAAACAATAAGGCATGGGTCACTAGGGACTTTTTCTATAACTGGTTACACCTTGCATTTGCCCCCACTGTGAAAAATTACCTAACTGAAAAGAAATTAGACCTTAAGTGCCTCCTGGTATTAGACAATGCCCCTGGTCATCCTACAGACTTGGCAGAGCGACTTTCTGGGGACATGAGCTTCAGTAAGGAGAAGTTTTTGCCTCCTAATACCACTCCTCTCCTGCAGCCCATGGACCAGCAGGTCATTTCCAGCTTCAAGAAACTGTACACAAAAGCTATGTTTCAAAAGTGCTTTATAGTGACCACAGAAATTCAAATGATTCTAAAAGAGTTTTGGAAGGATCACTTTAATATCCGCAATTGTATAAACCTTATAGGTATGGCTTGGGAGGGAGTGACTAAGAGGACCTTGAACTCTGCTTGGAAAAAACTGTGGCCAGAATGTGTAGACAAAAGGGATTTTGAAGGATTTGAGGCTAACCCTGAGAATCCTATGCCAGTTAAAGAATCCATTGTGGCATTGGGGAAGTCCTTGGGGTTGGAGGTTAGTGGGGAGGATGTGGAAGAGTTGGTGGAGGAGGACAATGAAGAATTAACCACTGATGAGCTGTTAGATCATCTTCAACAGCAAGAAGCCACACTTGAGGAAACTGCTTCGGAGGAGGGGATAGAGAAATTGAAGAAGTTGCCTACTTCAAAGATTAAGGAAATCTGTGCAATGTGGCTTAAAGTGCAAACCTTTTTTGATGACAATCACCCTAACACAGCTATTGCAAGCTGTGCTGGTGACTATTACACTGACAATGTTGTGAAACTCTTTAGGAATGTCATAAAGGAACGGGAGGTACAGGCCTCTATGGACAGATATGTTGTGCGACAGAAATCCAGTGACTCTCAAGCTGGTCCTAGTGGCATTAAAAGAAGAAGGGAAGTAACCCAAGAAAAGGACTTACTACCTCAAATCCTAATGGAAGGGGATTCCCCTTCTAAACACTAACACCTCTCCCCTCCTCCCATCCCATCAATCATCACCAGATCTTCATTAAAGGTAAGTATCAATTATTTTATTGTTATTGTAATTATTCTATTGCATTAAACTTAATATTTCATGTAGTAAAATTTTTTTTTCATACTTTTGGGTGTCTTGCACGGATTAATTTGATTTCCATTATTTCTTATGAGGAAAATTGATTCGGGTTTCAATATTTTCAGTATTCGATGAGCTCTCAGGAACGGATTAATATCGAGTACCGGGGGTCCACTGTATTTGTCCAGTCTCTTCTTAAAGCTACCCAAGGTCCTAGCCTCTATCACCCCACTGGGAAGACTGTTCCACGCATCTACAACTCTGTTAGAAAACCAGTACTTACCTATGTCCTTTCTAAATCTAAATTAATCCAACTTAAATCCATTATTTCTAGTTCTTACCTGGTTCGACACCCTCAGTACTTTATTAGTATCTCCCTTGTTTATGCCCATCATCCACTTATACACTTCAATGATATCTCCCATCATTCTACGCCTCTCCAGAGAGTGGAGATTTAAGGCTTTAAGTCTATCTTCATACGGGAGGTTCCTTACACAGTAAATCATTTTAGTCATTCTTCTCTGTATGTTCTCTAATGAGTCTATATCCATCCTGTAGTAAGGGGACCAAAACTGAGCAGCATAATCTAAATGAGGCCTCACTAGTGATGTATAGAGCTGTAAAATAACTTTTGGACTTCTGTTACTTATACGTGTACTTCTTGAGATAATTCCAAGTAATCTGTTGGCCTTGTTGGGCACACTAAGGTACTGCTGTCTTGGCTTTAGATCTTCGAGTAGTACAGTTGACGGTGGTGAAGCAACAGCTGATGGTGGTGCAGCAGCAGCTGACCGTGGTACGATAGTATTTCGATAGTGTTTCTCACCGCTTTTACCACAGGGTTGGCACTAGAAGCTTTCTTTGGGCCCATGGTGGCTTATTTAGCAGTTACAAGCACTATAAACAATGGAATAATACAAAATGTATCAAATGTATG